TCTGACTTAGACAGTTTTCGCAGCGCCATTAAAATATTTTTGAAGACTCTCACAAGAACATTTATCTCATTATATTATTATAATTATATGACTTGGCTAATTCCTGTTCTGTTTATATCTATAATTCTCAAAATGTGTGCGTGTATGTATGTCTGTGTATGTGTGTATGTTTGATCGGGTGTTGTTTATGCATTTCTACAGTTTTTATCTGATTTCGATGAATTTTTTTTTATTTGATAGATAATTCTTCAGTGCCGGTTTTGATTCCAAATTCTTGGCGACAATGGCTCTCCACTACTTCCTGTCCATTGAAACTCTCAGCAACGTTTTACTATTTATTTACTATCTGTTCTTGGATATATATCTTTCATAAAAACTTTAATAAAAATAGTTTAAATTATTACAATAATATTATTTATTATTATACAGTTCACTTTTCAGGGCCACCCTACATTCAAAGAATTAACCCCTACATTTAGGAATATGCCTCAGTTGAAACCCAATTGTTTTTTACTAATATTGATTTTCGGGTGGGATAACTTTTAACTTAAACTGCTCCAGTTGAACGGCAAAAATCCCCAGTCATAAAAGACCTGGTGAAAGACGATTTATACTGCCAGTGACTTAATAAATTACTTACAGGTTATTTAAATAATAATAATATACTGCCAGGGACTTAATAAATTACTTACAGGTTATTTAAATAATAATAATATACTGCCAGTGACTTAATAAATTACTTACAGGTTATTTAAATAATAATAATATACTGCCAGTGACTTAATAAATTACTTACAGATTATTTAAATAATAATAATATACTGCCAGTGACTTAATAAATTACTTACAGGTTATTTAAATAATAATAATATACTGCCAGTGACTTAATGAATTATTTACAGGTTATTTAAAGCCAGCAAATATTTTAAAATTGTAAGATTCTTATTTTGGCAATAATAATTGTTTACTGATAAAAGTCTTACTAATTAACTGAAAAGAGCTGGATTCATATCTAATCAGAATTTGATTTAAAAAAAAGAAGAAATTATAATGCGGATATAAATTGTAGGATCAATTCTATATCATAATCAATGTACAAACCGACCCCTCACTTTGTGACCACAGTAGTTTCTATACTTTTATATTCCAGAGAATGTGAATAAATATAAAATATTAATAAATTCTTAATATTAATATTAAATAAAAAATAGAATATAGTTCGAAGATACTTTCATTTAAAATGTGTTCCGTCATTATGGGAAAACCTGTCTCTTCCGCGGTAGATTCTCGTCCGAGTACATAAAGCAGTGCATCTTTCTTAACAAATCTAACGTATTAGGTTGGTGCAAAAATAATGACGTAATAATGTCGTTTTTTGACGTTCAAAAATACGTCAAAAACGACATTGTTACGTCATTATTATTGCACCAACCTAATATATTCTTCTGTACATTTCGACTCCATATTTATAAAGCTAAAAACAGGGAATCGGTTACATCCATGGCTATAATATGACCCCGTTGCACAGTCTTTTGAAAAGTTGTACCATATTAATCCATGACAATGTCATCGTCGTACATTTATTTCACTAAACTATTTAATGTTTCTCCATTTCAAAACTGATTTTCAAACTTTTTTGAGCTTGTCGGAGTTAGCTCCTCCTTAGTTCCTTAATCCTTCACCAGGGGTCTCTCTCATCTGGCTATAAATACTGGGTGACCTTTTGCCTCGATCTCTCTTTTCCCTCGAGCCTTGGGCCTTATCCAACCTCGCGTTGATGAGGTGGGGTAATTCTTTTCTCTTCATTTCAGCTAATATCAATATGTGAGCTCTCACCAATACAGCGTTTCCCAAATTCTGGGAATACGCTAAGAACAATACATGTACGTACGTACAAACACTCACCACAATACACACACATAATATTCACCACACAAACTCAATGTAACTGTCCATGTGCTTGTAACTTGTTGTTAATACATATATTTGTTTGTTTATAA